AGTAAGATCCTCCGTTCGGATCGTATCTTGGTCCTACTTTTGTATGTGCAACAACAAACAGTGGTTACAGCACTTCTACACCTGTCATCCACACCAGTAATATTTTTTAAATACTGCATGGAAGTCGAGCACAACACTAACAACAGCAAGTCCATACGTACGCACATACCAGTCCGCTAGTAATGAGGAAGGGTCTCCATTGAACACATGATATCCAAAGACATAGACAAGGACCGAAGTGCAAGATATGTTCTATGCATACAAAGTCGTAGACTAGTCTATTGAAGTACATAACTGATCTTGTCAGCCTTCTCGAACACCTTGTCGAAGCTCTTCGTCGATTTTCCACGTCCCGCCGGCATGGTGTTGACAAGCTGACTAAAGAGACGAGTTACGTACCTTTGAGGCAATTGTCCGCAGAATATCCAGCCTGTGGCTGGTCTTACTGTGGTATTTTGACGGGAAAGGGGGGCCAGGAGGCAGCGCGGGACCTTGTCGAGTTATAATTTCTTCTTGCGAAAAATGTCCGGGGTGGTTGTGGACGGGTAGAGTTTTTCAAGAAAATTTGCACGCCTGAAGGCACAACGCGGAGAGAGACGGAGACGGAACCCAACAAGCAAAGGCAAGCGCGGGAACTGGGCACAGGGAAGAGAGAAGGCGGTGTGGCGGTGGCGAGGGACGCAGAGGGTGAAGCCTCGCTATGACGGAGCGAGTCGTACCGTCTTGATCGGGAAACAACGTCAGTAGCTCTTGCAAGAGGCCCAGGGATTCACACCGGCGCCTTCAAACCCAGCAAGCACTCCTAATGCCAGCTAAAAGGCCCTCTGCTGCCTCATAAACCTCGATGACGCCCTTGCAGCGTGGACGCCCTATCGCAGGAGGGACTCCAGCTGCGAGAGAGGGGACGTTGATGATCGGCAGGAGGAGGTTGTTGCATAAAGGAACAAGCCCGTGTCTGATGCGCATTTCTGCGCGTGCAACAGCCAGGAGGCGACGACGCGCAGGGGTGGTATCGTTCTTCATCACAATAAGTTCAGGGACGACTTGCATAGCTGAAGATCCTACTCACACGCCGGGATGGAGCGTACACCAACGTCCAGCTTATCATGTACGCTCCACCATGGGTTGCTACCCCCCTTACGCTCCCGAGTAGTCTAGACCTATCTGCCGAAAGTTTGGCCAACAATTCCTTACTGCTTTATTCTCGCCTCTCTCCAATCGAAAACAATGCATTGTGCGTGCCGCACATCTAGCTCCGCAGTTTTTGCGTGGTTGGTCTGGTCGTTCAGCTTGCTCGATGTGAGGAATAAGCTTTGCTTTGATGGCTCTTATGTTATATTGATCCACTTCAAGCGACGACCATCCACCCCCCCTCCACCGTCCAATCCATTTTGGATCTCACGCCGGAGAGTTTTGGGGTGTCTTAGCTCTAAGTCCTCCACGGCCCAATGGGGGACTTTGTCGTTTTTGTGTAATGCCATACCAATCGGCATTAACCTCAGGTAAGCTTGTGCTTACTTTGGACTGTACCCTCCTCATCCTCTGGGGGAGGT